GGAAAAAAAGGGGGGGGGGGGGGGGGGGGGGGGGGGGGGGGGGGGGGGGGGGGGGGGGGGGGGTTTTTTGGGGGGAAAAAAAGGGGGGGGGGGGGGGAAAAAAAAGGGGGGGGGGGGGGGGGGGGAAAAAAGGGGGGGGGGGGGGGGGGTGGGGGAAGGAAAAAAGGAAGGGGGGGGGGAAAGGAAAAAAAAGGGGGGGGGGGAAAAAAAAAAAAAAAGGGGGGGGAAGGAAGGAAAAAAAAAAAAGGGGGGAAAAAAAAGGGGGGGGGAAAGGGAAGGAAGGAAAAAAGGGGGGGGAAAAGGAAAGGGGGAAAGGGGAAGGGGGAAGGAAGGGGGGGAAAAAAAAAAAGGAAGGAAGGAAAAAAGGGAAGGAAAAAAGGGAAAAAGGGGAAAAAAGGGAAAGGGAAAGGAAAGGGGGGAAAAAGGGGAAAAAAGGGGGAAGGAAGGGGGAAAGGGAAAGGGAAGGAAAGGAAGGAAAAAGGAAAAGGAAAAAAAAAAGGGGAAAAGGAAGGGGGGAAAGGGAAAAGGAAAAAGGGGGGGGAAAGGAAAAAAAGGGAAAGGGAAAGGGAAAGGGGGGGAAGGAAGGAAGGAAAAAAAAAAAGGGGAAAAAGGGGGGGGAAAAAAAAAAAAAGGAAGGAAGGAAAAAAAAAGGGGGGGGGAAAAGGGGGGGAAGGAAGGAAAAAGGGGGGAAAGGGAAAAAAAAGGGAAAAGGGAAAGGGAAAGGGAAAAAAAGGGAAAAAAAAGGGAAAGGAAAAAGGGAAAGGGAAAGGGAAGGAAAAAAAAAAAAAAGGGAAAAAAAGGAAGGGGAAGGGGAAAAAAGGAAGGAAGGGGAAGGGGGGGGAAAAAGGGGGGGGAAGGAAGGGGAAAGAAAAAAAAAAGGGAAAAAGGGGAAAAAAAAAAAAAAAAGGGGGGAAAAAAAAATTTTAAAAAAAAAAAAAAAAAAAAAAAAAAAAAAAAAAAAATTTTTTTTTTTTAAAAAAAAAAAATTTTTTTTTTTTTTTTTTTTTTTTTTTTTTTTTTTTTGGGGGGGGAAAAAAAAAAAAAAAAAAAGGGGGGGGGAAAAAAAAAGGGAAAAAAAGGAAAAAAGGAAGGAAAAAGGGGAAAAAAAAAAGGGGGGAAGGGGGGGGAAAAGGAAGGGGGGGGAAAGGGGGGGGGGGGGGAAAAAAAAAGGAAGGAAGGAAAAGGAAGGAAGGAAGGAAAAAGGAAGGAAGGAAAAAAAGGGAAAAAAGGGGGGGGGGGAAAAAAAAAGGGAAAAGGAAAAAAAAGGGAAAAAAAAAAAAAAGGAAAAAAAAAAAAGGGGGGGTTTTTTAAAAAAAAGGGAAAAAGGGGGGGGGAAAAAAAAAAGGGGGGGGGAAAAAAAAAAAGGGGGGGGGAAAAAAAAAAAAGGGGGGGGGGAAAAAAAAAGGGGGGGGAAAAAAAAGGGGGGGGAAAAAAGGGGGGAAAAAAAAAAAAAAAAAAAAGGGGGGGGGGGGGGGGGGGGGGGAAAAAAAAAAAAAAAAAAAGGGGGAAAAAAAAGGGGGGGGGAAAAAAAAAAAGGGGGGAAAAAAAAAAGGGGGGGAAAAAAAAAAAAATTTTTTTTTTAAAAAACCCCCCCCCCCCAAAAAACCCCCCACCCCCCCCCCTTTTTCCTTCCTTCCTTCTCCTTACCTTCCTTTCCTTCTTTCCCCTTCCTTCTCTTCCTTCTCCCTTCCCTCCTTCCTTCTCCGTCTCCCCCCCCTCCTTCCTCCTCCTTCCTACCCCCCTTTTCCCCCCAACTTAAGGGGGGCCCCCCCCCCGGGGGGGTTTTTTTTTTACCCCCCCAAAAAAAAAAAAAAAAAAAAAAAAAGGAAAAGGAAAAAAAAACCCCGGGAATAAAAAAATTTAAAAAATTTTTTTTAAAAAAAAAAAAATTCATTCCCCTCAAATTTGAATTAAAATATTCTCAGCTCTAAAACATTCTCATGCCCCAAAAACCATTTTCAAAATCTCAGTGCCTGAAATATTCCAGTGTCTTGAAAATATTCCAGTCCTGAAAATATCCCGTTTCAAAAATTTCCATTTCTCTGAAAATATTTCTCATTCTTTGAAAATATTTCTCAGTGTTTTAAATTTCTAAAGTGTTTTGAAAATATTTCTCAGTGTCTTGAAAATATTTCTCGTGTCTTGAAAATATTTCTCGGGTTTTGTCTCTTCCTGAAAATATTTCTCAGTGTCTTTGAAAAAAATTTCTCAGGCTCTGAAAATATTTCTCAGTGTTTGAAAATATTTCTCAGTGTCTTTGAAATAATTTTCAGTTCTCTGAAAATATTTCTCAGTGTCTTTGAAATATTTCTCAGTGTCTCGAAATATTTCTCAGTGTCTTTGAAAAAAATTTTCAGTGTCTCTGAAAATATTCTCAGTGTTTCTGAAAATTTTTTCCAGTGTCTCTGAAAATATTTCTCAGTGTCTTTGAAAATATTTCTCAGTGTCTCTGAAAATATTTCTCAGTGTTTCTGAAAATATTTCTCAGTGTCTCTGAAAATATTTCTCAGGTCTTTGAAAATATTTTCAGTGTCTTTAAAAATATTTCTCAGTGTCTCTGAAAATATTTCTCAGTGCCCTTTGAAAATATTTCTCAGTGTCTCTGAAAATATTTCTCAGTGTCTTTGAAAATTTTTTCTCAGTGTCTCTGAAAAAAATTTCTCAGTGTCTTTTGAAAATATTCTCAGTGTCTTTGAAAATATTTCTCAGTGTCTCTGAAAATATTTCTCAGTGTCTTTGAAAATATTTCTCAGTGTCTCTGAAAATATTTCTCAGTGTCTTTGAAAATATTTCTCAGTGTCTCTGAAATATTTCTCAGTGTCTTTGAAAATATTTCTCCAGTGTCTTTGAAAATATTTCTCAGTGTCTCTGAAATATTTCTCAGTGTCTTTGAAATATTTCTCAGTGTCTCTGAAAATATTTCTCAGTGTCTTTGAAAATATTTCTCAGTGTCTCTGAAAATATTTCTCAGTGTCTTTGAAAATATTTCTCAGTGTCTTTGAAAATATTTCTCAGTGTCTCTGAAAATATTTCTCAGTGTCTTTGAAAATATTTCTCAGTGTCTCTGAAAATATTTCTCAGTGTCTTTGAAAATATTTCTCAGTGTCTCTGAAAATATTTCTCAGTGTCTTTGAAGATATTTCTCAGTGTCTTTGAAAATATGAATAATATTGATGGGCATTGTCAAAAAATTTTTTGAGAGTGAGTGTGGCTGCTGTTGTTACCTTCCTGTCTACCTGTTGTCTGACGCTGTTGTTGTTACCTTCCTGTCTACCTGTTGTCTGACGCTGTTGTTGTTACCTTCCTGTCTACCTGTTGTCTGACGCTGTTGTTACCTTCCTGTCTACCTGTTGTCTGACGCTGTTGTTACCTTCCTGTCTACCTGTTGTCTGACGCTTTTGTTACCTTCCTGTCTACCTGTTGTCTGACGCTGCTGTTGTTACCTTCCTGTCTACCTGTTGTCTGACGCTGCTGTTGTTACCTTCCTGTCTACCTGTTGTCTGACGCTGCTGTTGTTACCTTCCTGTCTACCTGTTGTCTGACGCTGCTGTTGTTACCTTCCTGTCTACCTGTTGTCTGACGCTGCTGTTGTTACCTTCCTGTCTACCTGTTGTCTGATGCTGCTGTTGTTACCTTCCTGTCTACCTGTTGTCTGATGCTGCTGTTGTTACCTTCCTGTCTACCTGTTGTCTGACGCTGTTGTTGTTACCTTTCCTGTCTACTGTTGTCTGATGCTGCTGTTGTTACCTTCCTGTCTACCTGTTGTCTGATGCTGCTGTTGTTACCTTCCTGTCTACCTGTTGTCTGACGCTGCTGTTGTTACCTTCCTGTCTACCTTGTTGTCTGACCTGCTGTTGTTACCTTCCTGTCTACCTGTTGTCTGACGCTGCTGTTGTTACCTTCCTGTCTACCTGTTGTCTGACTGCTGCTGTTGTTACCTTCCTGTCTACCTGTTTGTCTGATGCTGTTGTTGTTACCTTCCTGTCTACCTGTTGTCTGATGCTTGCTGTTGTTACCTTCCTGTCTACCTGTTGTCTGATGCTGCTGTTGTTACCTTCCTGTCTACCTGCTGTCTGATGCTGTTGTTGTTACCTTCCTGTCTACCTGCTGTCTGATGCTGCTGTTGTTACCTTCCTGTCTACCTGTTGTCTGACACTGTTGTTGTTACCTTCCTGTCTACCTGTTTCTGACGCTGTTGTGTTACCTTCCTGTCTACCTGCTGTCTGATGCTGTTGTTGTTACCTTCCTGTCTACCTGCTGTCTGATGCTGTTGTTGTTACCTTCCTGTCTACCTGTTCTCTGACGCTGTTGTTGTTACCTTCCTGTCTACCTGCTGTCTGATGCTGTTGTTGTTACCTTCCTGTCTACCTGCTGTCTGATGCTGTTGTTGTTACCTTCCTGTCTACCTGCTGTCTGATGCTGTTGTTGTTACCTTCCTGTCTACCTGCTGCTGATGCTGTTGTTGTTACCTTCCTGTCTACCTGTTGTCTGATGCTGCTGTTGTTACCTTCCTGTCTACCTGTTGTCTGACGCTGCTGTTACCTTCCTGTCTACCTGTTGTCTGACGCTGCTGTTGTTACCTTCCTGTCTACCTGTTGTCTGACGCTGTTGTTACCTTCCTGTCTACCTGTTGTCTGACGCTGTTGTTGTTACCTTCCTGTCTACCTGTTGTCTGACGCTGTTGTTACCTTCCTGTCTACCTGTTGTCTGATGCTGCTGTTGTTACCTTCCTGTCTACCTGTTGTCTGACGCTGCTGTTACCTTCCTGTCACCTGTTGTCTGACGCTGCTGTTGTTACCTTCCTGTCTACCTGTTGTCTGACGCTGTTGTTACCTTCCTGTCTACCTGCTGTCTGATGCTGTTGTTGTTACCTTCCTGTCTACCTGTTGTCTGACGCTGCTGTTGTTACCTTCCTGTCTACCTGTTGTCTGACGCTGTTGTTACCTTCCTGTCTACCTGTTGTCTGACGCTTTTGGGTGTTACCTTCCGGGTGTACCTGT